CCTCACCTCCATCACCCCCCTTTCTCTCTCTTTCTCTCTCTCCCTCCCTCCCTCTCTCCACCCCCTAACCATCACCACCATCTCACGTGACCAAATAACCCAGCACCGTGCAAACTTGTTTTCCTATCACACCATCGTCCCCCTTTCTTTATTTATGAGCACAGGTATCGATTAAAATATAGACACGTGTAGAATAAACCCCACATCTGTTGCACACATTTCAGCTAGAAATCAATACTAAGTCTTTCAACAGGCATTGCAACACGAAGCAAACGGACACATTACCGTTACACTTGTCACGGGGTGCTAATTTTTTTCTAAGGAAAAGAGAAAAAAAAGGTACATTGTTAAACATTCAAAACAAAACAAGGATGTAAACGAATGAAATACAGTGACACATAACAATGGTAGCAGAGTGCTTAGAAAAAAAATGCAAAACAAGAAACAGGGACAAATGAAAAACAACGAATAAACAACAAAAGGGCGGCCCCTTCAGTCAGAGGACGGTACACAACACTGTTCTCCCAGTGAACCTGACAATGGGTCGTACTGCTCAAGTGTGTCCGAGCTCTCTCAAAAGTGGGACATCTCCCGCATGATTCCTCAAACGCAAGTGATCTACAATTCGATGATTTGTAAATTAAAGGAATAATCCATCAACACCCGGCGGCCCCAGCTCGTCCCTGTTTGTTGAGCTTCGGTTGTTTTTGGGGGGTGGATTTGTTTTGTTTTGTTCCTTGATTGTCTGTCTGCTTGTTTCTTCCCACATGAGGAAAAAAAAATATACACCTACATAAACGGTCATGATGTGCTCAGCATTTTTCTGCTGTTGTTCGCAATCGAACTATGGTGGGGAAAGAAAAAAGTTGGGGGTTTTTAAAACTGGTAGAGTATTCTAAAAATATTTTTTTTAAACAGCAGTGCATATAGGCCACAAACTAAAACATCTTCCTAAATCTAGAGAATTCAACACCAATGCATAAATAATAGTCAACATATGAGAGATTTAGAAAAAAAAAAAAGAAAAGAAAAAGCGGGGGGTAGCAGAGGGGCTGGGTGAAAAGGTGTGGTTAAGGAAAAAGACACTCAGTGGGGCTCTGTCAAACTACCAGCAACATGTTATTAGAAATACGAATCACTCGTCAGTCAATATCTGACTTTTACACCGAACTTCCTCTTCTTAAATCTCAGAACCAACAGCCAGCAGTAAGTACTCCAAAATATCAGGACAGGGCAGCTACTACTCCAATAGACTACTCCAAATGCAAGGGAGTGTGTGTGTGCGCGTATCACTATAATACATCCAATTTGCAGGTGAGCGGCCGCCCAACTCTTCAAAATGAACACATATTCCAAAAGTCGAATGCCGCCGTTTTCAGGATTCTGTAAAATACTCCAAAGAGGGCATCGTGGTATTACTCCAGTATGGGTGGAGGTTGCGAGCGTATGCAATACAAAAAAGATAATATATTCCACTGGCTTGTAGCTTGCTCTTGCTAGATACTCCTAGGGAAAGAAAGTCTGCAGTCCTTGCAGCCACAGCAGTTCGCAGCTGGAGATATTCCAAACAGCAGGAAGATGGCGACCCGTCAAAGGGAGATGGGGAAGGGGGAAAACTTCAGAAGATATAGTCCTGACTTCTTGACACTTTGGGCGGTACACTTGTCTTAAGAAAGAGGCAGTCTTTGCTGTTGTAGGTCTCGCAACTTTCTGCCAGCAGCAATGTCATAAGTCCTTACATAGCGCACACTTCTCGTAACGATATCCACTCCACAGAACCCAGAGAGAGTAATCCACACAAGACGTCACACAACTCATACCAAAAACGTTTTAATAATGATGATAATAAAAATAAACCATCCAATAACAAAACACCAAGTATCCACACACAAGAGCAAAACACTAGTGGAGGCACGCACCGACCGAGTGTACAGTGTATAGAATCCACAAAATGAACCAAAGAAAAAAAATCAGTTCCCGTTCAATCACTTTTCCAAGATAGGGGCATGTCCAAAAAAATCGATAATCCAAAAGAAATCGAAAGCCTATATAAATACAGCAATAGGCAGCTGCTTGTTTTCTTAGGAACTTAAAGAGTGAGGTGGGTGCAAGTACCGAGAGAGAGAGAGAGAAACAAGACTGTGAGCATGGCAAACAAAATACTTCTCAGACCATCTTAAAATGTGGGTTGGGATTAATAAGTGTTAGTACAGGAATAGAAAAGATTTTAAAAATAAAACATAAAGCGCAGTATTATGCCTTGAGAGAAACTGATTGTTAAAAAAAGAAAAGAAAAGGAAAAAAAAAGTCAAATGATAAATACTGTGCAATCAAACTGAAATGCTTTCTGTGTGAAGCAAGTCTTTTCCCTTTTAATGTCGCTTGAAGTCTAAACACAAGAGCAGACTCGCGATCAAGTTATCCTACCATAGAGCACCTACCTAAATTTTATCGATATTTCTGTCACAAGACAGAAAATGCCCTTCCCACTCTCCAAATAAAATCTCAGATGCAGTTTTTTTTCTCATTACAAATATTCTTTTTCCACTTTCCACAATTATTCTTGGAAGTTTTCTTGTTTTTTTTCGTTATGGTTTTTCGGTTTTGTTTTGGGGCTTTTTTTTTCGACCTGAGAGCGAATGCTGATCAGATGAATCAATATGACCCGCAACCGTACCTACTTTGGAGATAATATGTAGTAAAAACAAGTATTGACGACAAATTCAACTCCTCTTACCACTTTTGCAACCCTCATTTGATTATCATCGAACATACTGGAGAATCAAAATCAATTCACACGCCCCAGTCCCCCCTTTCCCCTATAATGTACAAAAGAGTGTTAGTAGAAAGGAAAAGGCAACAGGGGAATGGTGGTTGTGGAGGGAGGGGGTGTTGGGTGCTTTATGATAACAATGACCAAGCGTTATGTCTCTTCCAATACCAATCTGCCAACTGTAAGTCCCCAACCTCTCAGAGGAAGTAACAACTGCACCTGCTGGAGGGCACAAAGCCTATGGCAATGTGACATCATTGGCCACCCCCCACCCCCAAACCTCCCTAGAAAAAGCAGTGTCATCAGTGGCCAGGGTCAGGGAACCCATGAGATGTTTTAAAAGACCCTAATATTACAAAACACGACTGAAACGAAACACTTGCAAAGTCTTCAATGATCTCCTCCTAACCCCTCCAACAACACCAGCCACCACAAAGACATCTTTTCCATCTCCCCCTCTCCACCGCCCCCCAAAAAACAACCGCTTTATGTTTTTAACATGTGACTCCATCGAGTTAACCAACCCATTATGGGGAGCAAAAGGGGAGGGCGGGGGGTGGCTGTTGGTGAGAGAGGCATGTTAGATAATGTGGATGGACAGACACGTTTAAAACGGGGCATGAAGATTAGGGGGGGGCAAAAAAGTCAACAAGGCATCTTTAGAGGGTCATCATCGACAGCAGTGCCCAACAGTTTTACTAGGATCCATCAACACACATGTGGTCAATGCAGACAGACAGACAGACAGACAGACAGACAGACAGACAGACAGACAGACAGACAGACACACACACATAGACACAGAGCAGACTAACTCACCCTTTATTCCAACTGGAGAACGTGGACACTGGGCGAGAGGAGGCGGCTGTGGCGCTGGTGTAGCTGGTAGCGCGCCCGCTGTTGGCGGCGCCGGACGGCGTACCGGGCGGGTTGGCGAGCACGGCGGTGCCGCTGGAGCCTTCCCAGTAGTCCGTCCTCAGGGTGACCTCCCCCAGGCTGTTCTTGGCATGGTGCGCCTTGGCTGCCGACCGGATGTCGTTAAAGGCCACCGTGGCCGTACTGCCCGCGTCATTCTCTTTAGCTGGCTGGAGTTTCACGCTCTGGATCTTGCCGTACCTGAACAACGAGAGAAAGAGAGAGAGAGAGAGTGAGAGAGACTGACATAAGCATTCATTCTATAGGTTTAGCAGCGTTTTCAACTCCATACGATTGTAAAAGAGGCGAGGAAGCACAATTTAACGTCCATCTCTGGCAGGACAAAGCCAATTAAGTGGAGAGCCTTCGTTTTTAGTGTTCGTAGGAGATTTATGGCACTTACAATACAATTAAGCCATTTAAGTGACAAAGATTAGATGTGATGCTACAGAGCAACATGCACAGAAAAGAAGGTGGGGAGACAATAAGGTCGATAGTCGTTTGAAAGGAAAAACGGAGCACACCACACCAGAACACCCACCAACCGCCAGCTTGTGTAGGTTTAAAGACTCTTTCAACTGCACAGGGTTATTTATTTAACAGGGGGGACTGCACAATTTAACGTCTATCTCAGATAGGTCTGGGCCAAATAGGTGAAGAGCCATTAAGACCTCCCAAAACGATCTACATTCAGAACGCCCCCGTTTGGGATTCTGACCAGCACATCCTTTTCTATAGAGTCCAATATGATATCAGCTGAGTCATTTTTGTGGGAGGTGAAGAAATAGAAAAAAGTAACTCATAAACGAACACGCCAACACAAGGACTCCACACCCGTAACATATCGTAATTTCACAGGCGGAACATGCCGGGAAGGGAGAGAGAGGGGGGAGGGGAGGGAGGAAGAGAGAGAGAGAGAGAGAGAGAGAGAGAGAGA